AAAAATCTTTATCTGATAACAATACATTAATTTCCAGCAGTTCAAAGGAAACGAAGTTATTATACTTATTAATGGCTTGAATTTAAAGTTGCAAATATTTATATTAAAAAATATGTTAACTGTATTACGATAAAAAGTCGTACTTTCATATTAATTCAAGGCATGATTGTTTATATGTGCCCACATGCTTTATTTTATAAACTTGCTTCATATGTTGCACACAACTCAGTAAATATTTTGTCATAAGATCTCTAACAGGTACATATTCGACACGAGATCAGGCGATATTAGTTAGCAAAGATCAAATAAATTTAGGTCGGAGGAATTGAGATGGCGACGGAATAGGACACGTTGATATCACTGTTAAATGTATTTTCATTTATTACTTTTTTTTTCAAGTTAAACATGTTTCAAAAAATGATTTGATACAAAGGTTCATGAATATTTTCATATACAATCAATACAGATGAATACTTAAAAAGAAACGAGAGTTAGTATTCATGAAAAAAAATAGCACAATGTGACTGTCCTCATCTGCAAATATCTATACAAACACACCGATAGAGAAAAAAGAAAAAGATAATTTGCTAAGAAATAATAAAATGAATATTTACAAAGAGTTCGAAAGCGAAAATGTGAAAATAAGAATATAACGAGAAATATTCGGTTACAACGTGAAACGATATATGATTATAAAAAACAAAAGTACATGAAAATAGTTATTGAAAGAAAAACAATAATTACACGCACATAAATATGTGTGATTATAATATGAATTAAACTCTATTGTTGATTGTGAAGATGAGAAGAAGAAATATCATTTTGATCAGGACTTATGTCGATGGAAGATAAAGTTCGAACAGTAGCAATAGCACGTGTTACTTGTGAAGAAGTAATTGTTTCACTCGTTTTTTTAGAAAGTTTACGTTTTTTTGCTGTTGTTGTTGTTTCTAAACCATTACCAGTTTGTTCTGTTGTGCTAAATGTTCGTCGTTTACGATTTGGCTTTAATTTTTTTTGTTTTAATTCATCTAATCTACCACTTGATGTAATTTCTTCACCATATATTCCTTCTATTCTTTTTCGTTTATGTGTTTTGGGAAGTGAAGATGAACTTGGAGTATATTGTTGAAGTAAATCGACAAGTATTGAACGAACAGCAGTAGATGGACTCATTTGATTTGATGGTAATGGATTAACAATTTGTTCGCCAATATTCACTTGACTAAACTCTGATGTTTGTGATGGACGTCCAGTAGTTGGTATATGAACCGGTATTAATTTACCATCCATTCGATTTTCTTCATCATCTAACGAATGAAATGATAATTAATAAGTAAAAATCGTTTCTTCCGATTATTTTCTTACCATCTATTTCAAACTCAATCAATGACATACGTTGTTTTGGATGTTGTTTCAAATTAAATGAATTTTGTCGATCTGTTGTTGGTAAAGTACGTGGATCAAAACCAATACTAGAATTAAGAGAACAGACCATTTAATAAGTCTTTTCCGACCCGTATGTTATTCTTACATTTTTTGTCCATCATCAACTTCATTTAAATCAATTTCACTTGTCGGTAGCGTTGATATACTTTCAGTTGATTGACGAGTTTGTTTGATTGATGAACTTAAAGAATTAACAAACGATTTAGTTAAAACTTGATGGTTGAAAAAGAAATTTATCTATAGACATTTGCTTACTTTGTATCGACAGGTAAAATTGTATTATTTGATTTATCAACTGACGACTCAAATTGATTTGATGAATTTGTATTCATACTTACATCAGATACAAATGATGGAAATCTATAAGATAAAGATATAGAATAAGAATATTGTAAGATAGATGTTTAAAAATTCATACTGAAATGAATAAGATGGATTTAAGAACGATGAACTTAATGTACTCATATTTTGATTTGTAGTTAATTGTTGATCAAAGTTTCTAGAAAATAGTGCATTCATTATAGAGAAACGGTCTGATTAGCTTTGTTTTTCTTGATAGAAATGTCTTACATTTTGTGAGTAAATGAAGAAGGCATGGTTGTAGATGGTGAATAATTTTCTGGTGCAGTTGCTGGTGCATTACTTGAAATAATTTCATTTAGTAAACGATTTAATTCATCGTCATCACTATTATCGATATCCATTACCATCGTTGATACATTTGAATCACTTAAACCGGAAGATGATGATGATGAAATTGAAGATATAGTAACAGGAGTAGTATTGTTATTAGTAAGAAAATACTGTGTTGACGATGTCGAAAGATTTGTTGAACTGTTAAATAAGTAGAAAATTTTAATAATTAAAAAATATTGTTTTTAGGTAAAAAATAATACAATACTTTGTTGTTTGTGGTAATGGATTGAGTTGTTTTGCCGTCAATGGTTGCTTTACTACTTTGTCTTTATTGGCATCGGGATTAAATGGCCATACTCCAGCCCGTACAAAACCAGCAAGTACTTGTTTAGATGTAAATGCTGATTGATACAATTTAGTAAAAAGACCAGGTAAATCAATTTTACGAATTGTTCTTCGATCAGTTCGTGAGAAGTATTTACTCACTAAATTTTTCCATACTTGCTTAGCAACACTAAAATAAATAATTAATACGTGAGTAAACATTTATTTAAAACTTCGAGAAATTGTGAATTTCAATGAAAAAAAAGAATTTATTTAATTACCCAAAAGTTACAGCGTCCAGTGGCTGTAGGACATGTGTGCAATTTGGGGGCAATAATAATAACAATATTTGATGTTGTTTTGCCAATTGAATTAGTTCGATGCCAACATGAGATGGATGATTATCCATAATTAAAAGAATTGGTTTGGAAATATTCTTTGTATGTTCAATAAACCATTTAAACCATTCAACATATAAATGTCCATTAATCCATCCAGATTCAGATACAGCATATGAAGAGCCAGGTGGCCCACCAAAAGTCCATTGTGGATTCAAACTTTTTGCTGAATATATAATAAAAGGAGGCAATATTTCACCTGCTGCATTACTACACATTAAACTGGTTGTAAAACACTTTCCACTACCACCAGATTGTTCATAAGCTTCTTTTGTTTCATGAGACACAATCACCATTTCACCTACGAAATGAAGGATATAAATATTAGATACTTCCCATCTAAAATTCCATTTTTATATAAAACTATTGATTTACCAGCACTCTCATCACTGAAACCACTTTCATCACAATTGAAAATGGCATGTGGTCGGGTTTTCAGATTATTTGTTCGAAGTATTAAATCAAGTTTAGCATACCAACCAACACGAACATCTTCAGTAAAACCATTACGTCGTGATATCTCCATTTTTTTTTCTTTCAAAACCTTTAATTTGGTTTTCCATCGTTGTAAAAATTTAGTTAATCATTTACGACCAACTTGAATATCTTTATCTAAATCAAATATTAATATTGTTAAAAATAAAAGTTTTCAAAGCAGTTTTCTTGACTATCTACCAGAAACAGCTTGTGCATATTCGGATGATAATTTTATAACTACCGGTTTTGTCAAACGAACTCCAACCAGTTCGAGGTTTATTAATAATTCCACCAAATATTGTTCCTGTTGATCTGTTAATAATGTTGGACGACCACCACCAACTTTTAATTTTGAATTGGATTTATGATTACGAATTGTACTACCTGGAATTCCATATTTAGTTGTTAACTCTGATGATGTAGAACCATTTTTATATTCTTCAATAGCTTTAGTTAAAGCTTCTTTCGAATAAAGGCTCCTTTTCGTTTTCATATTTCAAGAACAAATAAATGAAATGATAATAAAAACAAGTACAAGTAAATAACTTATAACGTTGTAACTGAGAAAAAAAAGTTTGAAAACGATGTAATTAAATATGTGCTATTATTTTCTTTTACGTAAATGACGTTCTATTGTACTTGTATTTTGTTCAATTCCATAAAATATCGGTCTCGGATATAATTGGTGTTCTATGCAACAAACTCATACATAAGTCCTCATTTTATTTTAATTTAATACTTGATGAATTATTTGTAATTGTTTGAAAAATCAAATTAATTAGAATCGATATTATTATCTAAATATTAGTATTTACACATATGTATCAATACCAGACAGATGTCAGCGAGTGCTTTGAACTGCTGGAAATTAATGTATTGTTATCAGATAAAGATTTTT